TCTGGATCTTGCCCATTGCCAACCCACTTCTGCCCCCCTCCCCTTCCCCCCATGAGCTGGAGCTAGTTAGGCTCAGGGTTTAGCTTGAAGGTCATCTGTAAATAAAAATAACGGGCCTGAATTTATCACGGGTCACACCATTCCCAACTCTGGTCTCTCAGTCCGTCTGTCTTTTATTATGACTTCTATCAATACTTGAGGTGGAAATGAGGCGAACAAGTCTGGAACTGACACACAGAGAAAGTTGTCGTTTCCTGGTATGAGGTTGACTGCTACAGCGTCGGTGATAGCTGGTCACCATAAAAAGCACTCATACAAGTAGATGATTTAATGCAGCTTCGGAGTAAGGCTGTCTCTGTGTCTGTGCTTCATCTTTTGCCTTGGAATTGGAGCAGGTCCCCAAATCCTTGCCTGCGTATTGCAGCCTGCCAGGATGCAGGTGAAGGCATAGTGCTCCCCCTCGTGATGCTGCCCAATTGCCCAGCTCTCTGGCACATCGTCAGTGTCCAAATAGTTGTTAGGAGCTTCTCAGTTTTTAGAAAAATGCTGGTTTAAGAGTTTCACACAAAGCTTTTCAGATGAGTGTCCTAGTAATTAGACACCTGGAAAGTGGAGGGGCCTAAGCAAATTAAGTGTCAAAGTACTAGTGAGAAAAGTACCTAACTCCATTAGGCAATTTTGAAAGTATGAATTTAAACACAGACCTAGACGTGGCTTCGTCTTTAGAAATGTAAAATAGCCTTCACTTTCTCTGAAGCCCCTCTGAGCTGCAGGTGTTCAGCATTCCTAATTAAAGAATGTAAATAAAACCTGATGGTGCCCAGTGCCTTGCAGGATTGGCCCATTAATGGTATAAAGGAATAAAACCTTTGTGAAATTAACTAGAGAAAAAAAAAATCTGATTTTTTTTTTAATGTTGTCACAAAGTGAAGTGTAATATGTGAGAATGTGCTTACAAGTCAAGGGGTCCAATTCCTTGTCCTAGTTATACTTAATGTAAGTGTGGATTTGTTGGAACAGAACTGTTGTAGACCTGCACTGGTCTATCTGATACCGGGATTTGGCTCAAGATATTAAAAGACACTATTGAAAGTGTCTTGGTAGTAAGTGCTGGGGGCCTCTATGGATCACAGTTGTGACAGTGACTCCATGTTAAAACGTTACCTTCCTTTTGCCGCTACGCAGCTGCATTATGTGATGCAGTTTCATGCCTTTGTAGCCACCTCCGTCTCCCTTCCCTCAAGACTGGCATTTTATTTCTACGTGTCTAATTCATCCTGGTGAGGAAGACGTCAGCATGTTATGAATGCTGACTATGTATGCGCATTTGAAGAATTTTGTAAATACGGAAGTTGTGGAGAAGAATGTGCTTTTTCAGAAATTGTAGCTGGTGGTTTTTAGCTCACAAACCAAAGACTCTGTCTTGTTTCTAGTTCTGGCTTTGGGGCTTTTATATTTGGTGGGCATACTTTCTACATGCTGCCTGAAAATTTAAGATACCTAAATATATTTGGAAGGCTTTGAATCTTGCTTCTTTCAATTTTGAGTACTATTGTGTGAGAAGTTGTATGACGTGTTATTTTTCTTGGCCCTTTAAAAATTGACTCTTTTAAAATATGCATAATAGTTCTAAAAGAGGCTATTCCTTGCCATGTGCATTAGGGGAACTTTTTGCTTGGTGTACTTGAGGCTGTCTTTTAATTTTTTTTTTAAACTGGATTCCAAAGGCTGGTCTGAGCCTTTATATTGCCTATTTGGCCTGGGCCGCAGATCCCCAGCAGACTTCAGTGTTTAAATTTCACCCTAGTCATGCATTAGATTTTAAGAGGCCTGCTGGTTTCACAGGTCTTTCCATGCAAGTAATAGTTATACCTGCTATTTTGTTTGCTTACCTATTGTTTTTCAATAAAAGCTCTAAAGGCACTGATCCTGCAGTCAGCAGATGCTGCTGTTGCACCCCGTCTGCAAAGTGCACCTGGTGGGCGCAGAGCTGGGGCAGCCTGTGGTCCCCTGCCTGGGGCGTCCAGCTGCGTGGTGGAGCCTGGCTGGAGGCGGTGCCTGGCTGTGCCATGTCACCAGCGCCATCCACCTACACAGCAGGCCAGGAGGCTGTGGAAGGGCCCATGGGGTGTACGTGGAAGAAGAGCCAAGCCAGTGTCCTGGCAGCAGTGCAGTGCCAGAAGCATCGCCTTCCTTCAGAGCTGGAGGAAGAAGTGAAGGGGTTGAAGCTGCCTTGAAGGCGCTGCTTAGACCCTTTCTCTGAGATAATTTCTGAAATGGAGAAGGTCTTAGCACTGTTCTACCACTTTGGTTTTTTTTTCCATGAAGAGTGAGAGGGAAGTGGTGGTTGTGGTGACACTGAGTGGCACGGCCATGTGGCTGGGTAGCAACAAAAGGGGTCTAATTTTGAAAGGAGGGCGCTCTGATCCCCCAGGCAGATCTGTGTCTTGCCGTGACCACTGCAGTCAGATTATCCTTGTTGAAGGAGCAACTCTTTCCTCACAGTTCCTGCCTGCATTGTTTGAATAGAGTGTGAAGCTGCAGCATGTTTTGAATAATCCAGTTTTATTTGTGGCATGCTCCGGTGTAATTTAATGACCCTTCTTCAGTAAATGGCTGGTCTCTGAAGGCAAACTAGAGAGTGAGTTCAAAAGGTGTCATTGCTCATCGCTCCTGACTGTTACTTGACATGACATACATCAGCTGGAACATCGAAGAGTTGCTGTGAAACTGTGACAGCACATTAATTTTTCCTAAGTACCATTTGCCTTGGAGTCATTGCCAGCAAGAAAGGCGAGCGCGGGATCACCGGAGGATGACACCAGAGAGGGCTGAGCTGATAAACAAAAGAAAGAGAATAGCCCGCTGTGCTGGTGTTATCAGCTCGGAGGCTCGTTTGCATCTGCAGCCAAAGCACTCCCCGGGAGCGGGTCATGTTGGGAATAACAGCTGCAGTAATTAACACAGCTTTTTCCCTATCTCCCTAGGGAAGGTGGGCAAGGGTGACCGCCAGGGAAGCTTGCCTCCTGGGGTGGAAGGGGACGAGCTCCCCGTGTGGACCAGCGGTGGCCAAGGGGGGTGCAGAGTTTCCCTCTATCCTGCAGGAAAGTGCCGCTGCCATAATAAACCTCAGGGAAGGCTGATGCGGTGCAAGCGCAGCTTGGGGCTGGGGCTGGAGCTGGGTGCATTTCCAGCCTGCTGAGAGGAACCTGCAGAATAGCATTACCCAGACTCAAAGTTCAGCGGCTGTTGTCCTGAATAGAAAGGTTTTGCAGTCTTTCCCCAGTCAGGCAAAAGGTACTGGCATTAGGGCCTCTGGCCCGTGTGTGCTGGTGACGCAGAGCTTCCCTGTATCAGAAGGCACGTGGTGGATGACTCCTGATCCCACCGCTGCTCAGAGCACCAGGGCCACGTTGCCCGTGGCTGAGGGCTGCCCGTCTCCCCGCACACAGCCCACCAGTGTCTCTGGGTGGCAAACAGAAACATACGCAGCTCCAGGATGGGGGAGCAGAGCTGAAGGAGTCCCTTCAGCAGGCTGACGGCGAGGCGAGGCAGGGATGGTTTCTTGTGGATCAGCTTTGAGATGCTGGTCCCCGTAGCAGAGCAGGGATGGAGGCGCGTGAAGGATGGGTTGTTCCCCTGTGCTGGGTCAGGGAGCCCATCAGCACAAGTCTGTGATGTAACCTGTCACCTTCCAGGGTTTTCACACTGACTGCAACTCTGCTATTGCTTTTATACACCCAGAGCCGTTAAATGGTTAGACCATTGGCCAAGAGCATGCTGCTGGCAGCGCTCGATGTGGCGCACGCAACAACCAGTAATTTCAGTGGAATTTCAGCTGTCGCGGAGTACTGAGACGTCCATGTTTATCCTTCACCTGGCCTCTTCCAGTTGGGCTGGAGGATAAGTGGTCCCAGAAACCAGAGCAGGTCAATAGATCCCTCTTGTTCCAAAATCCTAGTTAACTGGAACCAGTTGGAAACTTGCTGTAATGGAAATTTTGGTTGCATGTAATTTTTTTAACAGAGTGCAGTCGATCATGTTCTTTGCTTTAGTCTTCCTCCACTTTTTTTTTTGTCCTGTGTTTTTTGCGTATTCCAACTTTTCAGGGAGGGGATTAGGCTCACTTATGTAAAAGCACATCTCTTGAGCAACACTGCAGTCTCTGAATGCTGAAGCAACATTGTTTGAAGACTTGATTTTTTTGCTCTGAAGGCTCATATAAGAAGAGTTTCCTTAAGACAAACTCAGTCCGGGTACATCCCCCTCCCAAGATAGCTTCAGTTAGTGGCATTCAATAGCTCAATTAGTGGCATTTTCAAGGATGTTAGTCTGCAGGTTCTCCCCTAGCATGACACACCTGTGGGCTGGGTTGTTAAGGACAGCTCTCCTTTTGTGTGTTGTGCCATGTCCCTCCACTCCAGTTGGGTATGTTACTAAGTCAGTATATTTGTGCAGCACCTCATATCATTCTTGTTTGTTTGTTTGTTTTTTCCAGAACACTATAATTATACATCTTCAAACGTAAATGCTGGCTTGCCTCTAAATGTGGCACATTCCTCATTGTCAACTCCATGTCATGGTCTTCAGACATCAAATCCTGTCATTTCAGTTGTCCCATCGACAAACCATCCTTCTGGATATGGAGGACACATTGACAGCGGGGCCTCCGAGTATTACCTGCCGCCAAACATCAGACCTAACGGAGCCCCAGCGCTGGAGAGCCCTAGAATTGAGATCACTTCTTACATGGGACTTCATCATAACAACAACCAGTTTTTCCACGATGAGGTTGAGGAGGCCATCCCAAACACCAAGCGGTCACCTTCCACTGCCACTTTGAACTTACCGAACATCGAGGCGTACAGAGACCCGTCCTGCCTGAGTCCAGCGAGTAGCTTGTCTTCCAGAAGCTGCAACTCCGAAGCGTCTTCCTATGAGTCTAACTACTCGTATCCGTACACTTCACCGCAGACCTCTCCGTGGCAGTCCCCATGTGTCTCTCCGAAGACCACCGACACAGAGGAGGGCTACCAGCGCAGCATGGTGGCCTGCACTTTGCTCAGTTCCCCGAGGCACTCTCCATCGACATCTCCCAGGACGAGCATCACGGAGGAGAACTGGATGGGGGCTCGCAACTCCAGGCCTCCGTCACCCTGCAACAAGAGAAAGTACAGCCTCAATGGCCGGCAGACCTCCTACTCCCCGCACCACTCACCCACCCCTTCTCCACAAAACTCGCCACGGGTGAGTGTCACAGATGAGACGTGGCTGGGGAACACCAACCAGTACACCAGCTCCGCCATCGTCGCTGCCATCAACGCCCTCACCACTGATAGCACCATAGATATGAACGACGGTATTCCCATCAAGTCGAGGAAGACCGCTATCGACCACACCCCGTCCATGACTCTCAAAACTGAACCGGCTGGCGAGGACCACGGGACCATATCGCCAACTGCCGATTTGTCACCAGAAGACTTCTCCAGCTTTCAGCACATCAGGAAAGGAAACTTCTGCGAGCAGTACCTGTCTGTGCCACAGCATCCCTACCAGTGGGCCAAACCAAAGTCTCTGTCTCCGACATCCTACCTGAGGTAAGGAACCCTGACTTAAAGGGCACTCCTGATACTATCTTTACTATGTGCTTTTTTCCCCCCGCTTCCTCTTCCTGTCTGTGCTTCCTGCCAAATCCGCCCATCCACTCATTCCACTTAGCTGTATCTTGTGATGTTGCCTCTGTTGTTGGTGTGGCGTGACCATGAGTAAAGCCTTGAAGGGTTGAAGAGGCTGTTGTAGGAGCTGGCCATGTGTGGGTTGTAACTGGTTATCTGCTTTCCAGGGGATGAGCCCCAGCCCAGGCAGTCTGGAAATGAGGTATTCAGAAGCTCGTCAGGCAGCAGGACATTTTGGTGCCATCAGACCTGTGACTGTACTTAAATAATTCATCATGACTTAGTATGTTTTTATTGCAGGACAAGGAGATGGTCTCATTATTGTGGCTGTTACAGAGCCTTTTACCTTTGTGCTTTATAGACAGTGAATAGAAACAGAATAGGAATATAGTTCTTTTGTGCATTATTTCAGCTTTCACTTCATCTGAAAACTGCTTATCAGTCTTCTTTTCCTATCTGTGTTGGGCAGTGATTTTTTTTTTCCCCCCACCCTTCCCCACCATTTTTATATTCAAAGAAGAAAACCTTATTCATCAATTAATAATACTCAATATACTGGTCACATTTATTTATCACAAGAGGACTCCAGGTAGGAAGCACCACAGAATAGCCAGAATTTGAGTTACATCCATTTGTTATGATCTCAGTTATGATCTTAATTTTAAGTCTTCCAAAGGCTGTATACGCAAAAGTTTGCAGGCTGTTTTCAGTCCCTGGTTGTGATGACGACTCCTTTTCCTCCCAAAGCACACCTGGCTTCTTGCTTTTGACAGGAAGGCTGTCTTTCTCAAAATGAAAGAAGCGGGCATGTAGATTAAGTGTTTTAATTAGCAATACATTCCCTGGCTCTCAATCTTGCCAGTCTCACTTTTCTCCAGCCAGCACCTCTCTGCCACGTGCTGTCTCCCAAAACTGAGATTGAGCAGTCCGTGGCCCTTTGTGTTACAGCACGTAGGGCTGTGATCCCCTTCCTCATCGTTCTCCTCCTCCTCCTCTCTGTGTTGCCCAAGCTCCTTGCAGGACCCTGGCTCAATTCAGTGCTGGGAAGCACAGCAAGCCCTTTGGGTCTGGCCGAGCCATCCAGAGGTAGGCACTCGCTGCCTTTCGGAGCTGGGATAGAGACTTTTAACGCTAGGCAAATCCTTCAGAGCCTTCCTGTATACTTAAAAAAAGCCTTTTATGTTCTCCCACTGAAGTGCCAAGTAGCCTGTGCTCATCAGAGAGGCCAGCCATTGGCTTTGTGTCGGGGACTGCTTTTTGCCGAAGACTTCAAGGACAATAATGGGACAGTTTGACCAAACAGGCTTTTATCTTTCTGTTGCAGCGAGTGGCCCATAGGTGCTTTGCTGTGGTTTGTTTGGAGGCACCCGGCATGCCTGTGCGCTAACACAAACAAGAAAGGTGAAGTGTAAAAAACGGAGCCCCACTACGTTGTGTATTTAACATCTTTTTCCACTGTTTTGGTTTTGTATAAAATATGTTTCCTGGTTCGCAATATGTTTCCATGTGATCTCATTAACTCGTGCTCTAGGGCAGTTGGAAGTTACTGTCGAAATGTGATTTTAAGTTATTTTACCAATCAGATACACTGACCGTGCTTCCTTCCACCAAAAATACCTCTCGTTTTATGTATATGAAAGTGCTGGGCAACTGAGCTCAGACGTCAACAGGATCACAGCCTGCGCAACAGAAACTATGTTATTTTAAATCTTTCCAAAAAAATTGGTTAAGAATTTGTCACAACAGAGCTGGATTTTTTTCCTGTTATGTTACACATCTGTTCTATTTCAAACGTGAGGGCTGGAGGGGTGGGTTCCAACAAACAACTTGGTCTCCAAAAGCTACCCGGTCATAATGATTTTGAGATAACCAGATTTGATTACCTCCTCTGTCTCTTCCTGAATACGCGGTACAATTTTCATCAAAAGCCAGTGTGCCCTGGAAAATCACTGACGCCTTTCCCTCCCTCTCCTGCATTCCCATCTCTTTGGGGGCAGGAGGGAACAGGCTCAGGCAGACCGTCAGCCGGGTGCTCTCTCCTTTCCCAGGGTTTTATAGCGGGCATCAGTCTTAAAAGGGAAGTGGCTTTTTTTTCTATTGTTTATCATTGTTTGATGATGTTTTTCACTTGTCGTAATTAAAGCTCAATCCGCTTTAAGCTTTTCAAGTCCCGGAGCAAGGGAATAACAAGAGAATATAACAAGAATATAATAATGCCTGCCTTAGCAGAAACACAGTCTTTCTGTGCCTCACGCTTCTCTTGGTGGCTTATGAGGACTGTGAGCTCCGAGTCTCAGCCCTGTCCCCAGGCTGTGGGCTCTTTGGAGCAGGTTTGGGCTCACACATCCCCCTCGAGGACTATGAACGTGTGACTCTGTTCCTGCATGGGACTCGGCACGCAGGTGCTGAGGATCGCGGGACGGGTGGGAGGGCAGAGCCTGACCCCGCAGCTGAGGCTGGAGCTGCGCACAGGGTAACCCAGGTCTGCTGGGGATCTGTCTGCCGTGCTTCGGTGGCGGCCCAGGGCCTCGCGCCAAATCTTTGGATGTAGAAAATATTTAGAGACCAAGCAGAGATTTTCAGGGGAAGCTTTGGAACAAACCCTGAGGTAGTGATGGGAATTGTACCTTTTCCAGACCAAAATTGGGTTACCTAAATGTACCAATCTGCCTTAAAAACTACTGGAGGTGAATCATTGCATGGAGAGTCAAGAGATGGTCTTTGTGAAATTCTGCTTTAGCTTTTAGCTCCAAGGTCTTTTTTTTATTTCAGTATTTATTGCATTGCTACAAATGTAGCAAATAGTCTAAAAAGAAGCACTCTACCAGGCAATTACTGTATGAGCAGGTGATGCTCTGTATTTCTCAAGCCCTTGCTGTCTCAGTTGTGTTCCTTTCTGTGACATTTCTCCATCACTCCTCAGTGCTGTGTAATGCAGAATCTCTTAGGGACAAAAATGTCAAAGCCAGAATGCAAGTACAGAACTAGACTTCTGCCCTTGGGTATGGGGGCAGTGTTAGTGACTATTTGCAAAACTAAAATCCCAGTTTTATTTTTTACCCACTCATTAGCATGTCCTAAATTATCCTATATTAGAACAAAAAGTATAATAAGCACTCATGAAAGTACTGGATTTCTGAGTATCTTACACAGTTTTATGACTTACTCTTCAGCTGCTGTATTTGACTAAATACAACCTGAAATTTCCTAGAGACGGTTTCTTACTCGATGAAAAGTAATGTATGGTAGTTATTTCTAGTGTCATCAATTTGATCCAAGAAGTGTGTTGGCCTGTAGCACTTGAGTTTTCATTATATGCAGTGTTTTTTGGGGGGAGGGGGAAGAGAAATGGTTGGGTTTCTTGGTCGGGCGTATGGCATGTATGAGGTCTACCACACGAAAAGGAGCTTCCAGGAACAGACACCCAGTTCCAGGTGGCTTATAAAAGCTCCCTACTGTATTTTCTTGTACAGTTTATTTTTTTAACCGTTAAAAGCCACATTTTCTTTAGCTGTAGTCTCTTTTTCAACCTCAAAAATATACATGTGTGTTCTTGACCTCACAGACACGGGGTCATGTAGTTTTACATCTGGAGGCTGTAGTTTACATCCAGAGAATGTATGGCTGAATACCTGTCTACCAGGTGCAAAAGCACGTTTGGCTTTTATCTTCATCAATGGGTTTGTTTATTTCTTGTGGATTTTTTGGATTCTACTTCTGTTACTGTGACAGTATTAAACCCAAGCATGCAAAAATCATTCATTGAGGCCCCAAACCATATCATTGCCTTAAAAGTCATGACTTTAAAATGTTGCATATTTTTTTTCTTCTTTATTTTGATTTGTGTACCTTTCAGATACTCTTGACACATTTTTTTTTTAAATAGATGTTTCGGTTAAGATTATGAGGTAGAGTGTAACCTTACTTGGGAGAAGTTGAGTTTCTCAAGAAATTGGGGTTTTCTGAAGGTGGAAGAAGGCACCAACAGTCTTAAGATGAGATAGTCATCGATGCAGCAGCACTGGATTTGCTGACTTGTGCGTTCATGGCAAACTTGTGTGTTTACGGCAAGCGGGAGGAAGTTCCTCAGACAAAGTAAAGGACTGTCTGGGCAAGACCCAGTGAAATGGAGACTTGTGGCTGTTGTGTCAGTGACCATCCCCTGGGACTCATTAATGTTAATTGAGGGGCAGGGGCAGTGGACAGGGAAGAGCCCGCAATGCTGCTAACCTTTTTCTGTCTCCTGCTATATTCATGCTGGATGGGGATGTTTAGGTGCTTCAACAGGTTTGGTTTGTCACTGCGTAGCAGCGGCTTTTGATTACATTAGGTCACAGTACCATAAAGCTGGAGACTGCTTAGAAGACTGTCTCACTAAACTGAATCTTTTTTCGTTTGTTTGTTTGATTTAATCCTCCCCACGCTTTCTCCTGACTGTTTTTCAGTTCATTCAAACGCCCCTGTGAGCATCTTATTAATGGCTTTCCTTCGCCAGCTCGTTTTAGCACCGCGTGATTCTAAATTCAGAATGAGCAGACATGCGATGCCAGCTGTTTGTTATCTCCATTCCTGTGGCAATAGTTTCTAACTCTTTTTCTAAGCCAAAAAATGCAAATTTTTGCATGCAAATCAATCTCTGAATGTGAAATTTTAGGACAGTAGTGTTAAGTATTATCTAGGAGTATGACGACGACTTGCATTTTCAGACTTCAGTGTGAGGAATTCCAGCGTGCTGCATGCACTCCACGGAGGAGCTACTTGCTCCGCATGCCAGCAAAATACAGCCAAGTCTAGGGTGGGACACAGCATCTATTTTAACAGCTCGCAGCCAGATTGCTCAATTGTCAGACAGGAAATTAAAAAAAAAAAAGAGAGAGCAAAATCTACCCACTTTAACTCATAAGCGAAATATAAAGCAGGTATATTTTTCTGACCACAGTCAAGTTGGTGGACACATAGGCATCATCGTTGTTTTCCTACTCTTCCAAAAAACACAGAAGGATCTTGAACAGGCATCCGCTTCAATGTGAGACTTGGGTAATAAATAATAAATTGTAACCATATTTGCATTTGGTGCACAGTTGGAGCAGGGGCAAACTAGCAGCCTGGTAAAAGTTTCAGCAGCCCTGTGGTTTCTCTAGTTTATGTTTTTGTTTCTAAAGGAACACTCCCTGTTAGAAAAAATAAGTTTAGTGCCGGGCACCCAGTCTCAGCCACACTCCGTCTAAGCGACTTGCTTTACTTTGGGCACTGAATCACATTTTCCATCCTGCCCTTCCAGGCGGTGGCGTATGCCGCTGTCAGGCAGCTACCTGGGTAGATGATTCCATGCTGTGGTACTTGGCCAGCAAGCAGGGGGAGTCCCTGTGTGAGACCAGCAGTTGCTCTGACACCTTTTGCGCAGCAGCCTAGTTAAGGACAAAAAATGTTTGCAAATCTCTTTTTCAAGTGGACTTGGGCATCTAGTAGCTTAGAAAGTGTAATGGTAATTTAATTCCCCAGTGCATAGCAGTCATGTGAAAATGGGGCTTAAACACCTTTGCAACGTTTAGTAGAAGTTTTTGGCTTTGTTTCCTGCCTGTCTATAATCCAGTGTGCTGCTTAGTATCTTTTTTTTTTTTTTTAAACTTGATAAATCTTTCTGCTAAAGGCAGAAGTCATCCAGACTGGATAATCTGTTTTTGATTTAATCATATTGTGTATCTGGTGTATGCAAAATAAATCACTATTCATCTGTTTTGTAATCTGATTTATGTAGGACAGAGTTACATTCAGCGAGTTTTCTACAGCCTAACACCAGGTTTTGTGAACCCTCCTTGAAACAACCATCCCTCATTACAGCATTTAGGAGGACTATAGTTAGATTTATTATGGTGTAGAAAGGAATGGGACAGGTTTTCAGTTGGTGGAAAATTCGATCTGAGGGAAATACGCTGATGTATATTTGGTTGGAAGACCTTTTCTTTCTCTTCTTGACCCCTAAGGAGGGGCTCTTCTCCCCTCCGCGTGATGCTGGCTACATGAGGTAGTTTAGGCCTTTTCAAATTGATAAGGTTTGTTTGCAGCAACCAGATTTGATTTTGCCACTACACCGTTTGCTTGGTGACTTTTTCCTTTAACCACGTTTAGCCGCAGGAAATTAAGTGCACGATGAAGATAACCTAACATAGGAAATAGCTCTGACAGCCCCTGCCCGTGACACTGTTAAATGCATCACTCTGCTTCCTTTATCAGGAAAACTGCCATTAATTGTCAATTTATAATCGGGCAGGTGGTATTTTGAAATTTCGATGATAGATTGCAGGCTAACAGCAAACTGTATTTTTATTTTCAGGTTTTATTTGAGAATGTGAATTTTACAACTTAATTATACTGACATTTTCAGGTGCTGATTGGAAAGGGTTTTTTCCTGGGGTTTTTCTTTGTTTTTTGAAGAAATGTAATTAGTTATGAAACTATTACTTACTTATATGTATCTTTAAAAAAATCCCTCTTCACTTGAGGACTACATGCCTCCGGTCAGAATTGTCCTTTTTAAATAAGAGTTAAAAATTTCAAATCTGATAGATGTTGTGTCCTCAGGAAAAAAAAAAAAGATCCATCAAGTGAGAATTTACTTAAAACCAGAAACATCTGTTTAAAAATGTGTGCTGATCATCACCAGGAGAGACACAGCTGTTTTGCTCTCCTCCGTGTCATTTATCATTAGTCAAATATGGTTTATCCAGAATATTTTTTTTTGAGACTTTTTCAGACTAAAGTATGCGTACCTAACGTGCTAGGCAAAGAATACTGGCTATATACAATGGCCAATTGCCTGTAATTTTTTGACATCTCTTTGCTCTCTGTATGAGTGTCTAGTAGCAGAAGAGCTTCTCCTCGCCCCCAAGGTGGGCCCACTTGCACGGGAGCTCAGAAGACGTAGTGTCCTGCCTCTAGCCAAGGCTGGGGCTCCCGTGCTTGGGAGGGCAGTAGCCAAATTCGGGATTTGTCCCTGGCAGGGTCTTGCCTCTGCAGAGAGTGCTCCGCTGGCTCCTGCTGGATCCAGATGTTCATGGGAGCTGGGAGCCCTCACAGAGGCAACATTTTTCTTTTGGATGAGCTCACATTTGGGCTGAGCTGGGAGCTGTATGGCTACTTTCTTCTCTCACCCTGTTGTTTTTGAGGATGCTCCATGTCCTGAGGGCTGGAGAGCATAGTAGCTGGAAGTTTGGAGCCTGCGATGCACCAGCAAGCCGTGCGGGGGTACCAGGGGTTGCCCAGGGAGTGAGGGTGGTCTTGGTCCTCACCCAGGGCTGGGACTTAGTGGCTCCAGCTGCCCCCGTAATGTGTGTAGTGCCTATCTATAGGCATTCAAATCACATAGTTCAAATTTATAAGCAGTGAAGAAAGATAATGTAGAGAAACTTAGCACCACCTGAAATCCCATCAGTGCATGTGTGCACGTGCACTAGCATATACAAGCTAAATATGCTGGTGATAAAGGGCTGGACAAGCACTTTAAAAAAAAAAAAAAGGCAAAGCAAAAATAAAAAAAGTCAGTGCAAGTGGTTAAAGTCGCTGTCCTGCAGTGAGAGACAGCAATGATGCTTTGGGGGATGTGAGAGCTGTAATGCCTGAGGAGCCACAAGTGCGCTGGGTTAGTATGTGGATCGCTGGGACAGTGAAATGGAGTATTCAGTTTCCAGCTGAATATGTGCTTGTAATATACACATCCAGTGCGGAAGCTCTTCTGCATCCTTTCCTTCCCAGCCAGCTCATTTCAGCCATGATTCACACTGCCCAGACTGTTCCTTGCACCAGGGCTATAGCAGCAAGGCGAGGAACCTGTAAATCCCGGTGGCCAGCCTTCTCTCAGGCTGGGGTGAGAGCTAATTAGCCCTTCAGCTTCCTCATCTGCGTGCTGCGGCGGGATGAGCCCTCTCGCCGTGGCAGGTAGTCCTGGTCCATGTTAACAACAAAGAGTTGAGGACCGTGATTTTCTGCCTGCTTGTCCTCTTCTCCAGGCTGATGGGAGAGATAATAAAGTTTGATGTAAGAGGGCAGGGCAGTATGTTGCGGTTGTGCTGTTTAACTACTTGCAAAGGCTTTTGAAGGACATCTGTTGAAGAGATATGACCGAAGGAAAGAATATACACCAGACATAAAATCAGTGTTTTCATCGTGAAGCTTTTTGCTTCAATTTTAAGATCAATAAATGTGTCTCAGGCCTACTGTTCCTACAGTGCTTGTTTGTTTCTCTTTCTTTTTTTTAACCCAAAGCTTCAACTTAGCATTTCTTACAGCCAAGCTCTGCTAACTATTTTCAAGTGTGGTTTTACTCTGGAAGTGGGTTTCTAAGAATGACACTTCCCCACCATCGCATGCTGTCGAGTTGCTTGCTTGTGTGATGGTAATGAGTCCTTAATATTTTACTTAATTGCAGACTCAATACAGGGCCGGAAGAGCTAGCTGGATTTTCTTCTGGCTTGTGCATCATCGTTTGTAGGATTTGTAAGCAAGTTCTGACTTCAGAGCTTGCTCCCTTGCAGTGCATGAACCAGAAAGAGATCAGCTTTGCTTTGAGACTCTCTGACCTGTTTTGTGTTGTGAAGGACGCTGGGAAATGGCTTTTTTTTCTTCTTTCTGCTCCCTGTCAACTGAGCAGATCTGTTGAAATCCATTAAATTCATTAAATGCAGAACGCCTCCAGAGCTGGTTTGGCATTCACTTTCACAGCAGAAATCCTCTTCCTTAAATTCCTCTGTGTCTTTCTGCCTACCTTTTTCCTTTTGGTTCAAGAATCAATATATTAAGATACTTGTAAGCTGTGTCTTAATATTTTTCCATTTTGTTTACAAACCGGATAGCATCTGGGCCATCAGATGTGCTTGACCCATAAATGTTCATAAAATAACCATTACCTTCTAAATTACTTATGTCGTGGCATTATCCATATTGATGAAATTTTAAATGTAAGATGGTGAAGGATGAACTGCGAAACATGGTCTCTAAAGTAATAGTGCTGGATGCTTGTGGTCTGTGATAGTGTACTTGATGTCAATTTTTAATACGTTTTCCTTTCCATTATAGCCCATCCCTGCCTGCCCTTGATTGGCAGCTGCCATCTCACTCAGGACCTTATGAACTGCGTATTGAAGTGCAGCCGAAATCTCACCATCGAGCTCATTACGAGACGGAAGGCAGTCGAGGGGCTGTGAAGGCATCTGCGGGGGGCCACCCTGTTGTGCAGGTACCAAAATGTGTAACGAGCACCACAGGTTATTTATCTCCATGCTCTGTGGTGAGCACCCTTTCTTCTCCAAAACCGAACAGTGACGGGAGATTTTTCCTGTCCTCAAACACTATTATGCGTGAGAATGCCTTAAACTGGCTGGACCAAGCCTTTATTAAAAACAAGGCAGGAGCATCTAGTTGCTCTTAGCAATGTGAATAGAGCGCAAGCGGATTGCTTCTCTGTCCGCATGCGACTTAGCAAGAGTTCAGCTGGCAGGCGGTGGCCGTGGACCTATCTGTGCAGTCAGATTCCAGACATGCAGTTTATACTGAAATCAGCTGGGGACGTGCCTCAGTACATTTAGTCCTTAACTTGCGGTTGGATCTAATCAGAGCTGTGAACACATGTTGGAGGGCAGAGCTGTAGCAGTAATGTGGAAGTATGTTGTTGGTTTGGATGTTGCAGTGAATGCTGAGCAAAGCGCAGCTTTTTGAGTTTCTTCTGTTTAGTTCCGTAAACCCTTCCAGCCACTCTGGAAAGCATCTGAGGTCTGAATCTAGTTTCGGGAATTCTACCGAACTCTTCAGTTACTGTATATAAAGCATTTAATTTAATAACACTGTAAACTGACGCTTAATTCATTTATATGACTAGTCCCATTCATTTTTAAAGGACTTTTCTCAGGAGTGGGAAGAACAAGATTTAGTTGTTTAAAACAAAAAAAGAAAAAGTAGTGTGAGAGAGCCAACTCTGCCTGTCCCTCCTCGGCTGCTTCTTTCTCACCCGGAAGTTGAACTCTCACTGCCTTCTGTCGGGGTTGTGGCCCCCTGTGCAGCGGAGCCCAGGTTTTATCACTGCCTGGACAGCACAGGACTCAACGGGTGTCAGGGCACTGTCTGTGGGAGGGAGGCAGGCGCTGCCGCCCTGCTCACGCTGCTTGGGTTTATGCCACAACTCTTCATGCAGGAGCAGCGGCTTGTCGAAAGACCGGATGGCTCAAGATGATGTACAGACCACACGTGCAGGGCTCGCGTGCGTTTGTTTATTTGCTGTAAAACCCTGTTAGCAAACACGTCGTTCGAAGGAATGATGCGAGTCTGAGATGACACTGGGCAGGGAATGCTGCTGCAGAACTCGTGTGCTGCTGCGGCAGCTGAAAAAGGAAAGTGAGGGGAGTTGTCAGCAGCAAACACGGTTCGCTCTTTAGCTCTGCCAAAACTCATCAGTGACATGGGATTATGGAAGTCATCTGCTGAAAGACGAAAGGTTTTAGCAGAACATTTGTGAATGATATTAAAGAGGGGTTTGTGGCAGACACGCTTGATGACAATTAATACCTACTCTGTTTGTGGCTTGATGCAAGGAAATGTAAATGGGGAGGCATCAATTCGCAGCGGCCAGCATGGCGTTTAAAGTTTCCTACGTGCTTTTTGGAAAGACTGAATGTGATGCCAACATTTAATTGGACTAAATGCGTCCAGACATTTCCCCTCTCATCCCCTGTCCCCGTCTGTTGGGAGTGAGCATGCTGCTTCCAAACACAAACAAGTGTCAGAAAAGAGGAGAGCAGAGGAAATTGCGGAAGGGCATGAAGGGAGAGGGGAGGAAGCAGCCAGTCCTAGCCCTGTCAATTGGCTCTACCGGTTTAGTAAGGATTAATGTATTTTTCAGTCCTTTTACTACAACCTGAACATCCTTTTCTCCAAAAAGAACAGAAACATAAAGAGGGCCAGAAAAAGCTTCTCCATGTTGACATTGTCATCCCAGCCAGAGTTATCTGTTTGAGGAAATACTTAAAAGCTTCTGACTTAGATCAGAGTTGGATGGATGAAAAGTACTTCCAAAAAGAAAGTAAGCACTTATATTTTTTATAATTGAAATAGTAAGTACTTATAAATAAAGAAGTACTTTAAAAACAAAAGTACTTATAAATAAATGAAAGGAGGAGGAGGAAATCTAGGGAGCAACTTCTGATAAATCAGTGACTGACAAAAGCTGTAAAATGCATCTCTTAATCAACGTATTTCCAGATGTGCAGGTCCTTGGGTCAAGATTGATTCAGTCCACTACGGTATACAGAAAGGAGTTTAAGTTTCAAGGCTCACACCCAGATATAAGCTCAAACAGTATCTGAGTGTCTTCAGGTGAGAGATTTTGGATCAAGCATTTCCCTTTCCTGGTGTTTTCAATTGTGTTGACTCAGGGAAACCCCTCATAAAACTGCTCTGACCTCTTGCACTACCCTTTTGTGTTGTTTTTTTCTTTTTGCCCTGTGTGGGCAGCCAGGTCTTTCTTACGTTGCTGCTTTGGGAGAGCTTGCTGAAGTTTTGCTTTTGTTAGAGCTCTTTTACCTTCAAAAATGGGAGAATGTGGAAGAGGTCTCTTCCTCCCTTCTCCATTTCAAACCCCCTCTTACTAGCATCCTGCTTCCCAAACGAGGAAATTTTCTCACACTAATACCTCCACGTATCTGTAGGGCATGGTAAGGCATAGGAGAAGTAAATCCAAAAATCATCTGCTGCTCGTGGCATGGTTCCCCAGCAAAATTGCCAGGAGGTTGCTTTCTCTGCAGCTGGAGCATGTTTATCTTTTTTTTTCCAGGCAGCGTTAGCTTCCTTGCTGCTGCTCCATCTCTCCTTGTAGGAGGTAGAAGGTCTGAAAATCAAAGGTTTCCAAGGCAAGCATGCTGGATGAGGAGACCAGCGGTGTAGGAGGGCAGGAGTCTTTCTTGGGTGTGACATGAAGTCCAGGGTTGGAGACCAATTTTTTCCTTGGCTCTAGTGGCCCCTCCAGGCTGGTGACTTTTCTCTGGAGCTGGAGAGGGCCACATGTAAACCTTGAAGAGCTTTGCACTGGGACTCAGCTGCATGCTGAGTGCCTGCTGGTGTATGGAATTACTCTCCTCTCCCAAATCTGAGCCTGGGAAAGGGCAGGCAGTGCTGAGGACGGCAGGCTGCCGGGGGACGGCAGGCGGCCGGGGGAGTTTATGCTGACCCGTGGAAGGGGCAAGCCTGGCGGGAGCTGGCGGCTGCCTACGGCAGCAGAGTCTTGCCCCAACCTGGTGCTGGAAGGCGCCACTCGCTCCTTATCATCTCCATCATCTGCGTGGGGCTTGCTCACTGGAGGGTCCTGCGGGCTTTCTCACAGCAGGAGAGAGAAATCCTGCTTCATGCCAGCAGGATTTCCTATGGATTTCCTTTTGTGGGATGGCTGCACCCTCCCTTCTGCACTTAGGAACGATATAGTTTTGAGCGCTTCAAGTTGCCTGTGAGGGCTAATGACCCTGTAATACAATATTCCTCTCTCTCGCATTTCGTCTTTGCCTGTTTGGGGGTTTGGCTGCCGTGGCAGCCCCAAGCTATCGCTGTTCTTGATTGCTAAACGTTTTGAGAGTGGGATGAGCCGGCACACCTAGCATGCTAAAAATGCTGCAGAAGATTGGCAAGCAAGCGGTGCTGGGGAGCGGTGCTGGTGAGCTCACGGCTGGCGCCAGCTTTTACCCCTTGGCTCGGGGAAGTATTTTGTGAGTTGTCGTTGCCTTTGGTGATTCCAGACTGGGGTACTCCCCCCTCTGAGTCAGAACGGGGCTGGTGCCCCAGCTGGCATCGGGTGTTACGAAGCTGCACGCCGTGCCAGGCGACAGTGAAACCTGGGACCACTTTGGGGAGCAAAATCATGCCTGTTAGCAGCCTGCTGGCACCTCTGCGTTTGCAGGACTTCACAACTAGGCTGAGGATTGCTCTGAATGAAGCAAGATGAAGTGAATGGGAAATGGACTTTAGGAAACCCACAGAGTTAGATAGCTACAGCCATGTATTAAGCGAGGTGAATTTAATGCAAGGGGTTTACATCCCGAATGTCTTAAAAACATCCTCCATTTGGACCTATCTCCCATTCTTCATTTTTGAGAGTGGTGGTGAGGAGTTGCGTAACATGGGGGTTACATTCCAGCCAGTGATGGCTCTGTTTCAGCTGCAGGTAAGTAATCTGGCAGATAAGTTTAGGCTCCCTGGGGAGGGATGGCACCAGATTATAAATATATGGTCTATAGATATTCTAATTAATAACTCATCTTTGGAATAAGTCAAGCACTTTGGCTGCCTGAGATGGAATTTTTACAAGCAGGGTGCGGTGTATCTGTGAGATAAAATCCAAAAGATTGTTTAATTAAAGGATATGATGTACTCCCATAGAAGACTGGACTAAATGGTGAAAGAAGATATTCAAAGGCACAGAACAGTCTAGCAAGCACTTTCAAAAGTCATGATTATTATTCAGGTTTTTTATGCAAAATATGTCAGGAATTTTCTTCAAGATGACTCTTGACATGAGGTCGATAAATCAGTTAGGAAAAGGGAAGAAAAGCAGTTGTAGGGGTTTTCTTTTTTATCTAGGTAACCAGTACTAGCCAGAATTTGTTTTCCTCTTGGAAAAATAAGTTAATATTCAAGATACAGTGAATGCTGCCTTGCCTTTCACTGTATCGCTTTGCAGTGAGATGGTAGAGGTTGTGTACGGCTTGTGTGCTCCAGTACAGAATTTGATCTGAGCCTGTGAACAGATGAATAGTCTGAACTACCTCATTTTACAGGCAAAACACAATGATTTGTCTCCTGATTTACATAGTCAAAATGTTGTCTGTGCCAGGAGACTTGCTCACAAGAGTTGGCAGTGTTGTTTCTTGACAAGATCTCAAGTAGGCACTTTGGGTCCGATTTTCAAAGGCCTTGAGGCATATGTTGGAACTTTTAAATCCCCTTATGACTAACAAGTGTCAAACTCTTCTCTAAAGCAATTGCTGCCTCAGTATTTTTGTACATCTCCACATCACCATAATTAGGCACCAGGATGCCTTTGAGCTATTTGTGCACGTGGAGCATGTTATCGTTTGCTTCCCATGAATCAGTTGCTTTTGTTGCTTTCAGATAATAAGCTCAAGTAGTGTCCAGGTCCAGGTGCTGGCCACCACAGGTGTCAATCAGAGAGTCCTTTCATCTTCCGGACCCGAGAGCTAT